GTTGCCCACGTTTTTCCCCTTGGTTCCCTCTAATGAGAGTATTTCCAGTCCAGGCACAAGCAGTTGATCCAGTTTCATCTCTTTTGATTCCTTCTCCACTTCTTTCCCTCCCCGCAGCTTTTTCTCACCAATATAGGTCAGCACGGGCTGCAGCCGAGCTCAGCTGTTCCCCTCTGCTCCCTCCTCCCAAGGCACACAGGCTCTGCCTGTGCTGCCAGGAGCACAGCACTGGTCCTGCTTCCACACCTCAGACCTGCAAGGCTTGGGATCTGACATTCCCTAGGGGGCTTCACACCCAAAACAGGGCTGAGATGGGGTATGGCTCTGCCCAACCATCTGCCAACCAGGCAGGCACCTGGGGCCAGGGCAGGAGGTGTGTTCCAGGGCAGGGATGGCACTTTGGAGAGGATGGAGCAGAGTGGGAGGTGTCCCATGTCCCCAGAGCTTCAGGGAAGGGGGAAACAGGGCAAAGGAGCCTGCCTTGTATCACTGCTTCACCTGTTTAAGCACTGATTATCTTCAAGATATTTGTGTGCTAATTGTTTAGAAAGAAAATGCATGAAGTGAATGCATGTAGGAAAAAAATAGGATAACACATATCCTCACTATCAGCAATTGTCATCACCATCTGGCATCGTTTTCATGCCGTTTGTTACCAGAGGGAATTTTTGTCATATCCTGGGGCAGGGCTCTATCAAGGGTGTGTTAAAAAAAAAAAGATAACTTTGAAAATGATAAAAGGAAATTGCTCCTTCAAAATGTAATCTAAGTACATTTTGCTTTTTAGAAATGAAGCTGAATTGGAAATCAGGTTGGAAATTATGAGAGGCTTCGCAAAGGTCTAACGTTAATACGTTATACTGGAGCCATTCAGATTCATTTAAAAGCTACAGGTTTTCTTCCAAAGCTTTAAAGAGAGTCAGACACAGGAGAAACCATTTGATAAACATTTTCCTGCTGTGCCTTGAAAACTAAGGACTCTTAGTTGTCCCATGCTGAAGGGAAAACTATTTCTTTGTTGTCTTCTGTTCAGTATAAGGACTGGGTGCCTCAATGCTGAGAAACATGAGAGGGGATAAAAAAAAGCCAAGAAAATCGTTCTTTCTGTTCATTCTCTCTGTTAAAAGTAGGTGAGACTGGGAATTTCTGGATCCAAGTCTTTGGGGATGGACTCAAGCCAGGAGCTGGGTGTCTCAGGTTCGAGATACACATGCACAGTATTTAGATCTACATACAAGGCAAACAAGGATCCATCCTTTTCCAGGAAGAGGCACTTGTGCTCCCAGCCCTGTGCCAAGTGTTTAATGCTTGACCAAGATGTACAGCTTTTCCTTCAGGATACTGGTTAGTTTGAGCCCCATTCTGCACCCTCTGACTCCCTAAAGCACAATTCCACCCCAAAGACCCAAGGACTGAAATGTGGATGTGATGGCACCACACTTGGGAGCAATGAAGACCTATGTGAGATCTTCTGAGATCAGAAACCATAATTTCATTTTCAGTTCTGTGGTGCTAGATGACTTTTATTTTGGTTTATAGATCAATTAATTCTAAACAAGAAGCATGCTCTGTGCACTATTTGTTTCTGCATTTGCTCCTTTCAGTTGGCTTTCCTAGTAAATAATGTTAAAATACTTTTTTGCAATTCAGTTGAATTCCAAATTCCAACCAAAACCAGTTTGAAGTGAACCATGGGAAAGTGCTTCATCATGAAGACTGCCACCTGACATTTTCCACTGAAATAAAAAGTAAATTTGAAAGTCTGAATGAAGGTATGTGGCACTGTTACTTGATGCCTATACATACCCCATGGGACAGCAAAAAGACATATGAACACTAGCAGCACCAAGCAAGACCTCTTTGAAAGTTTAACCACAACTTTTATCAAAAAACTGTTTTCTCCTTGGTGTCACCTTAAAGGCTCCTTTGTTAGAAAAGTACAGACCTAATGTTAGCTGATCCACCTGGAATACTGCACACAGTTCTGGTTCCGTCAAAATAAGAAGGACATGGAACTGTTGGAGCAAGTCCAGAGGAGGCCACAGACTTGATAAGAAGACTGGAGCATCTCCCCTATGAGGACAGGCTGAAGGAGTTGGGGCTGTTCAGCCTGGAGAAGAGAAGGTTGTGTGGAGACCTCAGAGCAACTTTTCATTATCTGAAGGGCCTAGAAGGAGCTGGAGAGGGACTCTGTGTTAGGAACTGCAATGACAGGACAAGGGATAATGGGTTCAAACTGAAGGAGGGAAAGTCTAGGTTGGATGTGAGAAAAAGTTTTTCCCTGTGAGGGTGGTGAGACACTGTCCCAGGTTGCCCAGGGAGGCTGTGGCTGCCCCAACCCTGGCAGTGTTCCCAGCCAGGGTGGATGAGCTTTGAGCAACCTCATCTAGTGAGGAGGTGTCCCTGCCCAGGGCAGGGGTTGGGACTAGATGATCTGTAAGCTCCATTCCAACCCCTAAAATTCTATGATTCTATGAAATTTAGCGTAAAGTCACATTTCATCCTAAAACAGCGAAGTGTAGTGGCTGCTAGTCAGTATCAGCATGTCTTTAAGACAACAAGCAGCAAATATGTAAGAGCATAAAAACAATATGATAAACTGGTGGGTTTGATCATTCTGGATTCAGACTGTCCTGCATTGCCTTTGGCTCTATTCACTAAAAGTCCTGGTTTTATTCATACTGTGTCTTCTTCTTCCCCTTGAATGTGCTGTAATCTTTCTGGAGTAGCAAAGGGGAAGGAGAACTGGGACAAACAGTGTGGAATTAAGGCAGAGGTTGTTTAGGCTTACTGTAAATTGTGTGCCCTAGCAGTGAATTAAGCAAGGCTAGGAAATAATCTTCAAAGGGAAGTGATGAAAATTGTCTTCTTGAATACATTTATAACTCTACTAAACAAAGTATTTTCGACCATGCAGGGAGAGTTTTTATCATTTTTTTCTCCGTTTTTTCTCAATTTTTTTTCTTTTCGAAATTTTACTGCGATCATCAATTCAAATCTTGGTAGAGTTATTTCCACGAGAGGAGTTTTTATATTTACTTTGTGAATAAAATGTCAAGTGTTAAAAATAGATACTTTTTATTTCTGTCAAGGCATATTTTTTAATTTGTTTTTTTAAAAAGCAACGCTTTCCCTATCGACAGTTGGTGGTTTATTTTATTTTCAGGCAGATCTGGACTCTTTAAGCTTAAAACTGAGGATTGAATTATGAGGAAATAAAATGCTGATATTCTTAACGTCCCCTTGAACTGTACAGAAATAGGGTAAGGCTGGAGCTTTTCACATCTTGTTCTGACAGCCTTTTGCACTGTAATAAGAACAGGCTGAAATCACTCAGGCAGTATCCACCCAATCTCTTGTGTTCAAAGCTGTAAAATAATCAAGTGTTGGCTTCCATCCAGTGTATCTCCAAGTGTGCTCAGGGTTGAGAGCAAGACAAACAAAAATTACCCCTCTGTCAGTCGTAACATCCAGAAGCCTCTGTAGTGGTTCCTCTGTTGAAAATGTTTATTGCCATCCTGGTCCTTGGAGGGGTAATGTAGATGCTGGGCTAAATTCTGCTCTGATTTTCAGCTGCTTACGAGGCACAGCAGAGTTAGCTGGGACTGAGAAGCTCAGAGTGAGAATTGACCTCTTGGCTTTTCTTTCCTGTCTACATGCAACCAGATTTTTAGATCTTTACGTAAGTGACAAGGCAAATCTTGTCTGCTTGAGGACCTTTCAGAAGAACAAACAAACCTTCTGGGTTATATTTATTTCTATTTTCACATGGC